GGGATTCAGGTGGTGGAGGAGGGGGGGCTTGGTGATGCGGAAGGGGGAGGGAGAAGGGGAGGGAAGAGAAAGAGGGATGAAAAAGGAGGAGGAGAGGAGGAAGGGAGAGGGAAAAAAGGATGTGGGAGAAGATGGAATGAGGAGGGGAAGGGAGAGGTATGAAAGGGGTGTGGGGGGCAAGAGGGGGGGAGTAGGAGAGAAGGGGAAGGGAGAGGCAAGAAAGGGTAGAAGAGGGAGAGGGAGAACAAAGAAGGGGAGGGAGAGGAGGGGAGAGGAAGTGAGAAGAGCGAAGAGAGAGGGGCAAAGGAAAAGAAAGAAGAGAGAGAGAGGGGAAGGATGAAGGGAAAAGTGAGAAAGAGAAGAAAAAATAGTATTGCAAGTGAGTCATTTTAAGGAGGAAGAACAAACGTAGAATAACAGGGGAAAAAAAGAAGTGCGCCTGGCCGGGAGCGCGCCGTCCCAAGGAGCCCCGCGAAGTCTTACGGAGAAACCGCTTATCTTTAGGGGGAAAAAAGACGTAGATTAAAGAACTAATACACGTTATCGGTTTAATTGGGTCGGTGGTTTAAGAGGTGGATCTGTCGTCGTGTTTACGTATGGGTTTGTTTTTGTTGGTCTGTTTGTCATTACAACGCAGTCGTGTGTGTGTATATTTTCACGGACACACGCACGTACATTTACCATCACATGCAGGTAGTCACGTGTCCACAATCATGCACGTAAACTTCTGTAAGCATTCACGGTCTTCGCTCTCTCTCTCTCTCTCTCTCTCTCTCTCTCTCTCTCTCTCTCTCTCTCTCTCTCTCTCTCTCTCTCTCTCTCTCTCTCTCTCTCTCTCTCTCTCTCTCTCTCTCTCTCTCTCTCTCTCTCTCTCTCTTTTGCTTTCACACACACACACACACACACACACACACACACACACACACACACACACACACACACACCACACACACACACACACACACACACACACACAAAGAGCGCCCGCGCACACGCACAGACGTAACAAGTGTGTGGGTTTGGGCGCTGAGGTCAACCAGTCCTACCAACAGTACCATTCGGCTGCCCAAGCCGGTACCAGGGCATACACGGGCCGCAGACGACCGCTGCTCACTCACTCACTCACCTCACTCACTCACTCACTCGCTCGCTCATCACTCGCTCGCTTCACAATCACCCACTCACTCATCGCTCGTTCACTCACACCACACACTCACTCTCACTCACTCGCTCGTTCACTCAACTCACTCCACTCGCTCGTTCACTCACCCACTCACTCACTCGCTCGTTCACTCACCCAACTCATCCAACTCACTCACTCGTGTTCTCACCCACTCACTCACTCGCCGTTCACTCACCCACTCTCATCGCTCGTTCACTCACCCACTCACTCACTCGCTCGTTCACTCACCCACTCACTCACTCGCTCGGTTCACTCACCCACTCACTCACTCGCTCGTTCACTCAACCCACTCACTCTCACTCGCTCGTTCACTCACCCACTCACTCACTCGCTCGTTTCACTCACCCACTCTCACTCACTCGCTTCGTTCACTCACCCACTCACTCACTCGCTATCCGTTCACTCACCCACTCACTCACTCGCTCGTTCACACTCACCACTCACGTCACTCACTCGTTCGCTCACTCACCCACTCACTCATCACTCGCTCGTTCACTCACTCACTCACTCCACTCACTCGCTCTCGTTCACTCACCCTCACTCACTCGCTCGTTCACTCACCCACTCACTCACTCGACTCGTCACTCATCACAAACTCACTCGTTCACTCACGCTCGTTCACTCACGTCGTTCACTCACTCGCAAACTCACTCGTTCACTCACTCGTTCACTCACTCGCTCGTTCACTCACTCAAACTCACTCTCACTCACTCGCAAACTCACTCGTTCACTCACTCGCAAACTCACTCTTCACTCACTCGCAAACTCACTCGTTCACTCACTTCGCAAACTCACTCGTTCACTCACTCACTCGTTCACTCACTCGCAAACTCACTCGTTCACTCACTCGCAAACTCACTCGTTCACTCACTCGCAAACTCACTCGTTCACTCATCGCAAACTCACTCGTTCACTCACTCGCAAACTCACTCGTTCACTCACTCGCAAACTCACTCGTTCACTCACTCGCAAACTCACTCTCATGTTCGCTCCTTTGCTTACTCGCTCGCATTCTCATCCAGTTCCTTCTATTTTTTCCCCTCTACCTCGGAGGTGTAAGCCCAGGCAGCTCTAAGAACGGGAATATGGGTTAACCTCAGAAATGTGCGCGGATTTAATTTATATTTGGTGGAGAGGAATTTTTATTAGGTTCCATATATTAATGACTAGTGTGTGTGTGTGTGTGTGTGTGTGTGTGTGTGTGTGTGTGTGTGTGTGTGTGTGTGTGTGTGTGTGTGGTGTGTGTGTGTGTGTGTGTGTGTGTTGGTGAGGAGGGAGGGAAGGGGGAGACAGACAGCACACGCAGACAAAGAGCGGGTGAAATGGGGAAGGGGGAGAAATCTCTCTCTCTCTCTCTCTCTCTCTCTCTCTCTCTCTCTCTCTCTCTCTCTCTCTCTCTCTCTCTTCTCTCTCTCTCTCTCTCTCTCTCTCTCTCTCTCTCTCTCTCTCTCTCATATTTGTAAATATATGTATATGCATGTGTGTGTGTGTGTGCGTGTGTGTGCGTGCGCGCGTCTGTGCAAGGTTAAATAATTTAGAGCTTTTGTAAGTGTGTGCATGTATATAATCTGTCTTTCCATAATCTGAATATATTATGTATATATGCAAATGTATGTATTCATGTGTGTCTGTGTGTAATATATATATATATATATATATATTATATATATATATATATACATACATACATACATACATACATACATACACACACTCATATATATATATATATATATATATATATATATATAATATATACAATATATATATACATATGCATGCACATACACGAGCTCTAAATTATTTAGACGCACATATATTGACATGCGCGCGCTCTCACACACACACACACACACACACACACACACACACACACACACACACACACACACACACACACACACACACACACACACACACACACACACACTTTACAAATGTACATACGTATACCTATTTGCAATTAATATACAGAGTATAGTATATATATATATATATATATATATATATATATATATATATATATATAGAGAGAGAGAGAGAGAGAGAGAGAGAGAGAGAGAGAGAGAGAGAGAGAGAGACTCTTCAGAGGTGACCAAGTACAAGCCACGCTCCACCCAAAGCTGTCCGAAAGCCGAGCACATTAGTATAGAATCGTCTCCATTGAAATTATAAAAAAAAAAAATTCTCTGTGGGATGCGATGTATTTCATGTTGGGAATTGTAATAAGTGTAAAAAATATAAAATGAGTTTTTTAAAAAATCAATTTTAAGTGGCTGCATAAATGGGGCGATAATAAACAAACCGGCTTCCCTCTCAGCACATGTCGCCGCCTCGCTGTTCTTGTCGTTTTTGTCGATTTCTGGCGTCGCGGGCCCGGGTTCTGCCAGCGCTGAGCTTGAAGTCGGCTTTTATTTGTTTCTTTGTTTCGTTTCTTGTGCGGACGCGAACTGGTGTCAATAGATACGGTTGAGTTCAAATCCTGAGCAATTTGTTGATCGGAGAAAGAGAGAGAGGAGAGAGAGAGAGAGAGAGAGCCGGCTTCTCGTTTTTGTTGTTGTTGTGGATGGCGGTGGTCGGGGAGGGAGGAGGGGGAGGAGGAGGAAGGGGACGGGGGTTAAAAGGGGGTAGAGAGAGAGGGAGGAGAGGAGGATAGGGGGGGTTAGCGGGGGGGAGAGAAGAGAGCGATGCGGATTCTCAAAATGCTTCGTTTCCGTTCCGAAATTGGTCGGCGTTGGTAAACATGGCGATCGACCTGTATACGTCCTTTGTCTGCTCTACCGAAGTATATGCGGATGTGCGAGTTAACTTTTTTACGGACGATCTGCGCTTGTGATGGGTCGGAGGGAGAGGTAGATTTCGTTTCTAGTCGTTTTGTGGCTCGATGTTGACGAATTCGACACAAAACTCGACGTCACTTATACTTCTACCTCCACCTAGGGTTTTCTACGCACCTACGGATTACCAACCCCACGCGCCGACCCGGGAGGCGAAGATCGGATCGCTTTACTGTCTTCTTTACAACGATTTCGTATTAGGTCATGATTCGTGCTTCTAAAATCGTATTTAGAGAATAAGGGGGAGGAAAATTCTAGAATGTTCGAGGCAAGATGGATTGGTAATGTGTTGCGTGAGGTTGGCAAGCCTGATCACGCCACAACACTGCCAGCGTGGAGTCGATGGGAAAAGTTGGCGCGGAACTTTAATTCGCGCTCCGGTTCATAAATTCGGGAAATAATATGCCCCTTTTGAAGAATGAGGGTTTTGAATTGTGATTTGGACAACTTTTGGGTTATATGTAGTGGTTCCTTGGCGGTAATGTGTTTTATTTAATGATAATTAGCTTTTATGGATATTGCCGTAGTGGAAGGTTAGGAATCATGGAGTGGTATTAAGTATAACTGTACTGACAGCTTCCGGCGACAGCTGTACTTTGTAAATTATATTTTTAATGTAGCATTCAAATATATTCCAATAAGAAAAATGCATCGAATCTCCCTTCTGTCAGTAGAATCGGCCAGAATCTTTTCTGATGTAATTGGAAGGTTCTATTTGTTGGCGTTTAAGTTAGCGTGAGGCGACGCTATGTTGTTGCCACCAGCCACTCGCATTTTCCACAAAACCTCTTTCAAAAGATGATAGGAGGCAAGTAATTTACTGTATCCACTATAAATATGCAAAAGTTGATATCAATAGGCACTAGAGTGTCTTTTGATCCCTAAAATACGTATAAATTAGCTCAAATTGTCTAGGATGGCGACGCGTGGCAGTTCCGCCGGGCAGATAGCCGGCACATATAAGCGGGCGTCTCCGAGCGTTGGGTGCAGTTCGCCATAAGAGAGAGAGATGGATAGATAGGAGTGTCACGCGCGCCAACGGGATCTTTTCCTACCTTTTCTAGCTTTCCCAAAGCTGGTTAAAATCACACGGCTGGTACTACTACATCCCAAGGGCAAGAGTGCGGCGCCAGCAAGTGTCTAAGACGTGATAGTGCAAAAGGGCCCCACAGCGGCGGTTTTGGAGGGTCTAGTCAAGCATCGCCAAGTGCTACTCAAGAATCTGTGATTTTCTTATTTTACTTCCCCCACTGATTGTGATATATATAAATCTTCGCTCATTGATAACCTACAAACCGTCAAGATGGTGCAAGGTATGTTATTTCCCCCGAATGCAGTGTGTGCTCTGAGTAATCCTCACAATTCCCATACCAACCCCGACCCCTTCCTGAAATGTGAAAGTTTTTTGTTGTTTTCGTGAAAGTCGACCGACCTTCGTTCTGTGTGTTATGGTGTGCTATGGTAAACTCTTTGTGCGTGTGTCTTGCGTGCTTTGATGTTGATAATCAGAGGGTGTTGAGTGTCGCTGGTGGATGAGAAAGTATGAAAAATAAGGATTTAAATGTGTGCGTGTGTATTGAGGTGTCTCGTCCTCCCTGTGTTTCCATCCTTTCTGAGTGTCCAAATTGAGTGAATATTTCCATGAAAATTAGCTCTGGAAGGATGTGCGAGTGGTGGTGATGTGGAAATAACGTAGTGAATGAGGTAGAGAGTTGGAGAGAGAGAGAAGGAAGAGAGGTGGAGGTGGTGTTGCTGGTGTGCCACAGTTCGCAAAGGTGCGTCCTATTTCACTGCATGTCTTGCAATTTGTCTCTTCCTGAACGCCTCTGAATCATGAAAACCCTGAAGGTATTCATAAGAGGGCCGGGGAATGACAAGGAAGAGGAGGGGAAGGGACGAAAGAGGGAGAAACAGAGAGGCGGGGGAGGGGGGGGCGGCGAGCGAGAGGAGGCTTGGCAACACCGAGTCCATGTTGGTTCCATGTTGCTGTCGTTGTTGCCAATTTCTAGGCCGCCGGAGCCACTCTTTCTGGAAGGTTCCTTGTGAGTTTGCGCCATGCAGTATTTCTCTCTCTCTCTCTCTCCCTCTCTCTTTCCTTGTTTCTTCTCTCTTTCTCTCTCATTCTGCCTTTTGATCAGCTGTTTTCTCTCCCTCTCTCGCTGGTGTGAAATTCAAGGGATTTGAGTGAGTCCGAAGGATGGATCAATTGCAGGGCTGGTTCTGGTCACGTAGCATATGTTGGAGGGCTTGTTTCACTACATATGTTGGCTTTTCACACGTTTCCACTTCTCAGACTATGTTTATCGGGTGTGTTTTTGTTTTTCTCGAGACCGGCATTCAGGTCGTAACTAAACGTGTTTGGGTAAGCAGTTTAGGTAAAGCCCGTGTTAAGTTACTCGTGTTCGAAGTAAGTTTTTGGTAGTTCGTTGTTTCTGTTCCGAGTCTCTTTATCAGATAAGGATTGTAAGTAGAGAGGTGAATAAAGTACGTACCCTGAGCTGTTATCGGCGAAGTTACTCTTGATAAGCTTTACTACGTAGTCGCAGGGAGAGAAGATGTATTCACTTCTTTAAAGCATGTTGTTTATGTGCGTCAGAGCCTCACATAGTAACAAGGGCAGTCTCGTTTTGCAAGGTTGAAGGGATGTTGCAACAGGGCACAAAACCGTCGTGCATTTAATAGGGTGTTTGCAAAGGGTGCCAAGTAATATTACGGTCCGTAGGTCGATACAAAGTTAATTTAATTACATGGTTTCGAGATTAGGCTCAAACTAACTAGAATGCGTACTGGAGAATTTAAAGGGTTTGTTTTGAAAATAGAGATGATGCTGAGGCGGGGAGGGGATGGGGGGGGGGGGGGGCAAGCGAAGGCGGGGGTGCGGCGAAAATCTACGGATTTGCACGCCCACGCTCTGCAACCTCCCCCGTGTCTCTGCCTCTGCGCTTGACTTCCTTGCATGCTGAGGCTTCGGCGAGGGGGCTTGGCGTGATTGCAACGAGGCTGGCTTAGTTGTTGTAGTATGTTGCTCTTGAGTATAGTTTCTTTTCTCTTCTCTTTTCTCTTTTCTTCTCTTTTCCTCTCTGTCTTTCCTCTCTTTTCTCTTCTGTCTTTCCTCTCTCTCTCTCTCTCTCTCTCTCTCTCTCTCTCTCTCTCTCTCTCTCTCTCTCTCTCTCTCTCTCTCTCTCTCTCTCTCTCTCCCCTCCCCCTCCTCCCTCCCTCCCCTCCCTCCCTCCTCCCTCCCTCCCTCCCCCCTCTTCATATCACGCATTTGGGCTAAATATAGAGGTGATTTTTGGTCGTTAGGCAGGGCTTGGCAGTTGTGGCAGGGTAAAAAGAGGTAGCCAGGGAGGGAGGGAGGGAAGGGGGAGGAAGGGAAACGTAAAGATAAAAAAGGAGAGAGAGAGAGAGAAGGGCAGAGGAGGAGGAGGAGGGGGGGCGGGTAGGTAGTCAATGTGGGCCAGACAGACCACGAGGTTATGTTGGCAGGGAAGACCCCGATGTTGCGTTGGCAGGCTAGGGAGGGAGGGTAGGGGTAGGGGCAGGGGAGGGAGAGGGAGAGGGAGGGAGGGGGGAGGTTAGGTAGCGAACATGGCCGCCCGCGAGCTGCCGTCTCTGCCCCCTCGCTCGTGTGTCGGCTTCCAGGTCTTCGTCGGCGGTTAGGAAGGGGGTGTTAGGGGGGGGGGGGGGTTAAGATTGTGCCTTCTTCCTGGTCTGGGTTGGGGGGGGGATTTGTTTTGGTTTATGACCGGTGGAGTTTGGGGACACACACACAAACACACACACACACACACACACACACACACACACACACACACACACACACACACACACACACACACACACACACACACACACATATGCAAGATATATATTTTTTGTCTTTATTTCTCAATGTCTCTATTTCTCAGTCTGTTTTCTAGTCCGGTGTCCAAAGTTGTTGTTGCCAAAGTATGTGTGTGCGTGTGTGTGTGTGTCTCGAGTGTTGCATCAGACGTCAGAGTTCCCAGAGAGAGAGAGAGAGAGAGAGAGAGAGAGAGAGAGAGAGAGAGAGAGAGAGAGAGAGAGAGAGAGAGAGAGAGAGAGAGAGAGAGAGAGAGAGACACGAGTGTTGATATTTTTACCCTGCCGTTAGATCTGCTGTGAGGAAGCGAGGAATTAATCTTAAGTGTACATATTATACACATTTCCTTTAGCGATTATTGTTGCCTTGTAAATAATTCATTAGACTCGTGTAGGTTTGATCTTTTTGATGTTTATGAAATGGTTTAATGGGATTTAATTTTTTTATTGAAATGCTTTAATGGGAATCGGATTAGCTTGAGATTTCCCTTGTTGAATGTTGCATTCTCCCTTGTTGCAGGAGACGTTACAAGTGTTCTGAGAGACACGACCAACCTGGAGCAGGTGCGCGAGGAGGCGAAGGAGAGACGTAAGAGGAGGAAGAAGAAGCGTTCCGGCTCCACCCTTATTGCCAGTGTCTTTAGTGGTGAGTTTCCCTTGCCAGTGGGCGAGTATGTGTGGTCGGGCCGTCGATATCTGCGAGGGAATGTGGGAGGAATTATGTATATTGTGTATATCTTTTTTTTACTTTTTTTTCTCCACTTGCAATAAACTGTAAGTAAACAGTTAGTCAGCTACACGTGTCTTAATCTTTTGTTTTCTCTCTTGGCAGATTTGTACAAACTTACTGGTGAGGTGTTGGGACAGGGTGCATATGCTTCAGTGCAGACGTGTGTCAACATCTATACAGATATAGAGTATGCAGTTAAGGTGAGTGTAGATCCTGCGGTTGATTTGTGCATGACAGGAAGCATGCATAGAAAGGTTTTGATGGTTATACGTAAATGTGCGTTAAGTCTTCTTGGGTTCGAAAGTGCCCTGACGTCGACCCTTTGCTCTCCCTCAGATTATAGAGAAGGTGCCAACACACAGCCGGACGCGAGTCTTCAAGGAAGTGGAGATGTTCCACCACTGCCAGGGGCACAAGAACATCATCCAGCTGGTGGAGTTCTTCGAGGAGGATGACAAGTTCTACCTGGTGTTCGAGAAGCTGTACGGCGGCCCGCTGCTGTCCCACATCCAGAGGCGGACGCACTTCACCGAGGCGGAGGCGTCCATGGTGATCCGGGACCTGGCCTCGGCGCTGGCCTTCCTGCACAGCAAGGGCATCGCCCACCGGGACCTCAAGCCCGAGAACATCCTGTGCGTGTACCCGGACCAGCTGTGCCCCGTCAAGATCTGCGACTTCGACCTGGGCTCCGGCATCAAGTTCAACTCGAACCTGAGCTCCCCGGTGATGACGCCGCAGCTGCTCACGCCCGTGGGCTCGGCGGAGTTCATGGCGCCCGAGGTGGTCGAGGGCTTCATCAGCGACGACGCCGGGCCCTACGACAAGCGCTGCGACCTCTGGTCGCTCGGCGTGGTCACCTACATCCTGCTGTGCGGCTACCCGCCCTTCTGCGGCAACTGCGGCGAGGACTGTGGCTGGGAGCGGGGCGAGGCGTGCCCGCAGTGCCAGGACCTCCTGTTCAACAACATCCAGGACGGCAGCTACGAGTTCCCGAAGCCCGAGTGGGCCTTCATCAGCGAGGAGGCCAAGGACCTGATCCGCAACCTGCTGGTCAAGGACGCCTCGCAGAGACTGTCTGCCGAGATGGTGCTCAACCATCCCTGGGTCAAGAACGGGGGCCCCACCACGCGCCTCGAGACGCCCAGTGTCATCAGGAAGTAAGTCCCAACCTCCCATGTCTGCGTTTTACAATTCGCGTTGATATTGAATAAAGTGTTGTGAAGGCTATTAAGTAAAGCGTATCTGCAGTTAAACTTCGTAAGGCTAACTTTCCAGGGGAGTTATACAGCCTTCAAGTCGTCCCGGGCAACACTAACACGCGTCTTTCTTCCGCAGGAACCACAGTGCGCAGCAGCTGTCGCTGTTCGCCGAGTCGTGCATGGCCCTGAACCGCGTCCTTCTGCAGCATTTCAGCATGAACCAGGATGAGGACAATGAGAACCTGGACAAGGACCCGCCGTTCGGGCTGTCGCCACCCTCGGAGTCGCGGCTGGCCCAGCGGCGGCTGCGCTCGCTCAGCCTCAACACCGAGCACCTCGTTACTGCCACAGGCTAACTGGCCCCCGCGCCAGTCACTCAGGGTCAAGGGGGCTGCGCTCCACCCGAACCAGCGTGGCTGCGGCGCCCCCTTTTATATAGTTTTCATCGTTGTTTTTGGCTTACACGCCCTCCAGCGCCTGGGGGACGGCCTCGCTGCTTGCGGGAGCCCCGGGCGGCCTTGTGTTAGCTGAGGGCGTGCGGAGGAACCCAAGCAGCGAGACGCCGCCGCAGGGTAAGAGGGCGGCATACTAAGCCTCAGGTTTTTCTACCTTGTAATATTTACAATAATATCATATAATGGAGGTTTAGCCAGCTCATTAATGATCAAATACTAAAAAAATGCCAAAAAAATCTATAAAAAATAATTGTTTATTAAGTTTGATATATATGTAGGCACAAAATTGAGATATATTTTCATATGATAAGCTTTATTGAGTTCAGGACATAAGCCATCAAGTCAGTAGGAAACCCTGGATTCGTCAATTCTTTCTTTTTTTATATATATTTTTTGTGTGCCAATGTCGAAAAAAAACTATTGAGAATCGTGGGCTACAACCAACAAATTAAGTACAAAGTTTATTAAAAAGAAAGAGAAATCCTTGAATCTGTCCTGAATGCCACTCTAAGCTAAGGTTTCGAAAAAAAAATGCGGTAGTGTGACAAAGTCCCCACTCCTTCCCCTCTCCTCACCCCCTCCCCTGTACCCCCTTTCCTCGTCCTTTCCCGTTCCCCATTTTTTATTTAAAATTTTTATGTCCTGTTCCTCTTGTCCTCTTATCCTCGTCCCCCTCCCCTTCCTTCCTTCCTTCCTTCCCCACCCCTTCCCCCATAAACCGTGGATGTGTGTGTGTGGATCGCAAGGCAAGGGGCATTGTGATAATTTAGTGTGTAAGGTGAAAGAGGATAACCCCCCCCCCCAGCACCTAGAGTCTCTCCTCCCCCTCCCCCCATCCACGAGAAATCCAGTCGTAACAGTTAATGTAAATGATACAAATACAACTTCTCCTTTGTGTGTGGTGCTTCGTAACTTAAGTTTGATAGTCTTAAAGATAAAAAAAAACTGATATTGATAATTCTGGAGAGGCGAATGAAATAACCCAGTAAGTGCCTATACGATTTTAGGAAAACCATAAATCGTTTTTTTTATTATAGTTATGATTATGATTCAATATTTTTTTCTAACCATGAAAGGAACCTCAATCCCCCACCCCCCATCCCAGCCCTAAAGAAAAAGAATAGGTAATTTTTCAACAACTTTCATAGTGGGACGAACAGTTTGTACTTGATCTTTCAAAAACTTTTCCTCTCCCTTCAACAGAAACCAGAGGGTCATTCGATAGTCTCATCGAGTTTGTGGTTTAGAATTGTTTTGATTCGGCAGGTGGTTAAAGACTAAATTTTAACGATTGATGGCTCCGTTCTAGTCACGCCTGGTGATAGAACGAGGTTTTGTACACGAGCCAGACTTGCTATTTTTTGCGGAGGGAAATAATACCCCTCCATCACCCTCCCCTTCCCTTATTTCAACCACTTATTTCCTCTCCCCCCCACCCCTCAATCCGTCAAAAGAGCCTTAAAAACAGGGAAGGAAAGATTTTAAAAAATAATAAGTTAAAAACCCTCTGGTTGCAATGCTAATAATTGCCTAGAACTTGTCCACCTGACTGTACTTGTGTCCAAAAAGCAGGGATTTTCAGTACGGAGGATAGGCCTTTTGGTGGTGCCCTCCCTCCCCCTCCCCCTCCCCCATGTTAGAAAAAAAACTGGAACACCCAAGTAAGAGAGAACATAATCGTAATTGATAATGTAAAAAAAAATCTATATATATTATAATTAGTGATCATGTATGTACCTGGAATGCCATGCTAGATGCATTGGCCTTGCGTGCACGTTGCCCAGTCATGTTGATCCACACACATTGGTTCCCCCCCTTCCCCCCTCTCCCCCTCTCCTCCCTCCACCCCTACACACAACCCTTGAAAATAGGATATTTAGAATTACGTTTTTGTTACTGTTTTCTATCTTTTTTATACATTGGAATAGGAGATATTAAAAAAAAGTAAAGTGTTGATTACTTTTTCTGGAATTTTGATTGGTATTGTCTTGGCCAAAAAAACATCATGTTTTTGTTTTCCTGTGGGGGTAAAAATTTGTCACCCCCTTTAAACCCCCCTGTGATTTTTTTAGAATGTTTATTTGGTTTTATTCATGTATTTTTGGCTTTTTTTTCTCTCTTCTTACTGGTTTTCTACCTTGTTGTTTCAAAGGTAGCTGTAGTTGTACCTTTCATTTAGTAAGGTAAAAGACTAGTAGGTGTTTCAAAGGAAAAAAAGAAAAATGTTTAAAAAGTATTTTTTCGGGGGGGGATGTTAACCGTTGCTGTTGGTGTGGTCTCGCCTATATATTTTTTTCTTCTCTCGCGCCCCCCTTCCCCTCTCCCAAGCCCTCCCCCTTAGTTATATATATACATTATCTCTCTCGTATCTCTCCATTTCGATCCTCCAAGCTGTTATCTCAGACAGGCTGATTCACGAGGCGAGGGACTGGAGAGAACCTCGCCAAATCGAGACACTTCCTTGAAAACCTTTCCGATTGAGACGGCGCGTGGAAGGCCGACTGCGCGCTCTCGGACCTTGCCACCGCATATACATGTATTGTTATAAAGGTCCTGTAAAAGGTCCGAGAGGTGCGGGGGTCAGTGGCGAACTTTTTCTATATTGTGCAGTGACTGAGGAATAGCATTCTTGGAGGCTAGAGATTTTGTTGAGAGAGAGAGAGAGGGATAAAGAGAGGGAGGAGGAAAGGTGGAGAAGGGTAGGGATGGATTCAGAAGTATATGGATAGAGAGAGAATGAAAGAAAGAAAAGACTTGTTGGTTGATGACAAGGGAGAGAGAAAAAGAGAGAACTTTGTCAAAAAAGAAAAAGAAAAAATCCTCTTTTCCTCGCGCCCCCTCGTCTCTAACGTCCAACGCAATGGTTGGGTTTCGCGAGTACGCTCCCCCCCCTCTTCCCCCCCCATTACATTCCTCATCACTTCATCGCCATCACTTTTTTCACCTCGACATCACCATCGCCATCCGAGTCATCCTGCTCGCCATCCATCACCATCACCATTTTTATCTCGCCATCAGCACCACCATCATCATCGTCATCGTCATCGTTAGTGCAGTGAGGTGGCTCCACATTAAAACGCTGGTCCATGGTTTGTCAAAGCGACCACAATCTCATAATTTTAGAGCCTTAAGTGTTAGTCAGGACTACTATTACTATTACTTTGGAAGAGATTGTTGTAATTATTTTTCACACATGTATTATTAATATTCTTTTCCTTAATTTATTTAATGAAATATTTTTTTGTCATTTTATTATTTACTCGAATTTTTACTTCCCCTCCCCTTTTCATCTTGAAGAAAAAAGTTTTTATATTCTTCATCATCAAAGTCATTATAGAAGCGTATAGTTATCATTGTTATCACAAACTTGTTCATTAAATCATCATTTTCAAAATAAAGAAAAAAAAACATCATGCCAGGCTTGTTTGCCATAAAGGTTGTTTTCAATAAAATGTTGAAAATATACATTAGACTTTTGAGAACCATCACACCCCCTCTTTGAAAAGAAACCTAATAGGCCATTTCGTCCTTATGTATTGAACTCGGACTGTTACTGGAGATAGAAACCACGACACTAGAAAGTACTTCGATGTTTAGTGATCGATTTTCATAATGTTTAGTGATCGAATTTCATGCAGACTAAACTTCCGAACGATTTCATTACGAACGAAACACGTATTGAAGGAAGGCCTGGGTTTTGTCATCGTAAATTGCTAGTACTGTTCTACTTTTTTATTATTCTTTTGGCTTCTGATTCTTCATCTGTGACAAAAATTCATGTGATAGTTAGCTCAAGGAACCACCACACTGCTGTCACCTCATGAGTCGTCTTCCCATGTACCGCCTACATCAACATAGGCTGTATGAGGAGAGAAAAATAACATTGAAAGAAAGATTAAAAAAAAAAGTTATCTATCTGTGGCGCCCCCTCCCACCCCCCTTTTTTCTCATTCTCATTCGTGAGGAGGGAAGGAGGAGAAAGAAGAGGAGGTACTTATTGTTGAAGTGAATTTGATAAGGGAGGAGAGTGTATAGAGGAAGAGAAAGAAATGGTGTAAGGAAGGTAGAAGAGAGACGGAGGAGGAGGAAGAGGGAGGTGAACGAGTGATGTATTTATCTGAGCCTGTATGTGAAAGAAGCCCCACTGTGACGGAGAAAGAGTGTATAGTGTATCATTGTATACTCCGAGCCATACGTCCCGGGCAGTCTTAATACACTGAGGATGGTGATTGGTTTTGGCTCAACACGCTCGTGACCTCCCCTTTCTCCCTCCCTCTCTGTTCTCTCGCATCTACCCTTTCTTTTTTTTGGACTTTTCCATCCACTCCTCTTCCCTTCTCTTCTTCCTTCTTTCTTCGCCCGTTTATCCCTTCTTCCCTTCCTCTTCCAATCGGCAGAGGTCGCGCAACTGCTTTCGAAAAGAAGACGATGTGTTTCAGGATCGTTTCTTTACCATATACGGAGTCATGTTTGTAATAATATCATTTCCGCCCGTGTTAATTTATATAATTATGTGAATATCTCGACATGAATAGGGGGATTGTGTCCCCCTTTATGGTATATATATATATATATGCGCGCACCCATGTGTTGGAATATATGGAGGAAGCAAGGTGCCAAGTTCTGTGAAGTATCTCAAGTGTTTTTAAAACAAAAAATACTTGGAAGGTGGAGTAAAAACAAAGCCATTTCTTGTACTTGACCCTGTGCTCTGGAACACCTCAATAAATAGAGCTCAAGCAGGGAGGAAGTGCAAATAAAAGTTATCTTTTTAATAATGCTCGTTTTATTTATCCAATTTGATACCATCCTACTTTTGACATGTGATCGAGATAAGATAAAAACAAGTATGCTCAAATTTACCCAGCTGGGAAAATCCAAGTTTATACTGATAATGCAAATAGACTGCTTGAAAAGCACTTAAATGAACTTACCTGAAGAGCACTGGTGAATAAACATTTATCTACATGTAAACTTCTAGTGCAGATTATACAACACTTAGACGTTTTGGAACAGAGGATCCATCAATACCTATTCTACCCCATCTACCCACTTCTGTCTACTATAACTACTATACTACTATACATTATATGGCCGTTTATAAATGATATTCACCATACATTATGACCGTTGAAATATGACAAATTAACTCAAAAAAAAAACTTCACCACAATACAATACTTCAGTGCTATATATCCTTTGATGTCTAGCACATTTGCTTTCTTGTGCCATTATCACATACTTGGAACAGAGGATAATACCTCTCCCATAAGAGTGAACACTACTGGCCCTTAATACAGATAAGCAAGATGTGGTTTAGGATACTATTAAAAATTACCAAAAATCTATAGCTAAGACTTGGAGAAAATATATAACAAAACAGTATGCCCCCAATCCTCTGTTCGTTGTGGGGGAGGGGGCTAAGAAGTCGGAGATTGAGCCCCAGTGTAGGGGATCACCTCTACCTTGGACCTCAGCCTCGCCTCAATGAACTTGTGAATGATCTTTAGTTCTCCATCTTTCTTTTTTCCTTTTCTTTATAACCATCTGCCCCCTCCTAAAATGTGAGAGCTGTGCAGAAAGGAGAAAAGACTGGCTGTGTCTGTCCTGAACGTCCTTCACATTCCGTTCATTCCCCCTTTACCCTTTTCACTGCCATACGAACCTACAACGCTGTACAACTTTTATCTAACATATTTTGTCCTAATTGTTAAATCACTTTTTACCCTTTTGCCACTTTACATAATGCTGACCTTTCCTTACCCGGGGCTTCACTTTCAAGCCTCGCCCTATTGCTCTAAAAAAGAAAAATTTAACTACTGATTATTGATGTGATAGACAGCGGCACCAGCTCATCTTGAATTCCCTGCTACAAGGGATTAAAGCCCTGGAAGTGGATTATCATTATTAGTACGAGTGAGTACTTTCAGTCAGAGGCAATATGCAGTGTGCACTATCTTCTAAATTACAATATCTGAATTCTTTAGATCTTGAATAACTTCAATTTCTTACATATAGGGTTGCTTTGGTAATGAGCAATCCTATACCTTTGCCTGTTACTTCAAATAACTGAGGAGTGTCCTAAGGGTGATCTACCCTACCAGATGACGGGGTCACGATACCAAGAACCACTGACCTATTGCCTTGCGAGACAATATGGTCCCCACTGGGTTTGTCTCCCACCATATGATCTTGTTTATCTTTCTGTAGCACACAAGTAATAATTTTGAATGTTTAGAGAGCTGTTAATGCCCCTTTTTGGTTTTACTAAGATCGAGTGGGTCTATAAGTTACCTTAGTGGTCAATCTTGTCAGAGCAAGCAATTCTGATTCGAAACAATAATTATCCTTTGTAGTGTCACGCCGTCTGCCCTACAAGTCAGGAAATTTGGTGTATAATATTTTTGGACACCATGTTTCAGAATGACAATAAAGTATACTGTGTGGCTTGAAAGGTCACTGCCTATTTATATGACAATCTACTGACCTACTACCTCAGCGTCCGTCGTGTTTATCCAAATGAAGGTCAAAATGAGGGAAGGTTGAATGTCGCATGTGTATTTTTTAATAATTCTTGGCGCGGTTATTACGATTTGGCGATTGATAATTTCGCCTTGAAGTGTCATAATGGTGATAGTTTGTTTCACACAGCATGGTACAATGTAAATTTTGCCTTCCATGGACAGAACGATAAAATTTGATATTTTTTCATTGATGGCATTTCCATCTGAAGTTGATGATGTGAAAGTAGTACAAGTAATTCTTTGATATACATTTCTATAACGACCGAACGAAGATGGGGAAAATCTAATCACACTGTCATAAAGAGTGGGGAAAAATACATTCGCTAAAACACGAAATAATCTGCCCAGGCAAAGAAAAACGTCAAAAATGAACGTTAGGGAAATACGGCGATCGGGGTAACTGGAGAGAAATCTCGGGTCCGACGGTTGTTGGCTGGAGTAAAAGATCAATTACTAATACTTATTTCCTGAACCGGTAATATGCGACGAAAAACAAGATTCTTTCCAGTATCACATCTCGGCGTTTACAATGAAGGCACTGATAATTTCGACTCATCAGTACTACATAATAATACCGACGCTGTGTGATGAAATAACAAGCAGGGAGGCTACGTGCGTTCTATACTAAGCTGCATAAAGCTTTTATTTCAAGGTTTAGAAGAGCATCAAAATTCCGTAAAGTGATACCGAGAATAATTCAAGCATTTTTTATCTCCTAGAATCGTGATCTCTAAAACCCAACTCTAAATTGGTCTCAGCTGACAACGAATGAGAAACATGGGTTCAGGGTAGAAGCTGGATTTATCTTCTGTAAAATCTAAAGGTTTTGTGAGCAAAAGGAACCAATAACCTAAACATAATCTGGACTCGCATGATAAGTCAAGGACCTATTGGTTTACATACTTGTTACTGTAACGAAATATCGTTTCTTGCTGTTTTGAATAATTCCATGGGTCGAATAAGAATTGCGTGACAAGGGTAGGAAAATCATGACACCAAGATACTTCCGTTTGGCAAGAATACATGCCATGTCTACGACCAGTGCTCGTCGTCCTCCGAGAAGCAGAGGCAGAGGGAGGTGAAGAACAGAAGAAAAGACAAGAAGCTCAAGTCTAAGAACCACCAAGCCTTTCTACTATGTACACATAGAGTGAAAAAAAAAATCATAACAAAAAGAAGTAAAAGTAAAATGGAAATAGTTTTTACATCAAAGGATATACACATCCGTTCGTGTGGCGATATATGTGTAAAAAAGGAAATAAAAGAAAAAAACATACATATATTTACATCATATGTGTAAATGTGCGTGTGTTTGTAGGCATAAAAAAAGCAAAATCTATTAAAATAAGAAATGCGTGCGTATGTGTGTGCACGAGGATGCTTCCGCGCCAGTGACAAAACACTGTGGGAACATTAAGTCTGACAAGTTGGGTAACAAGTTATTAAGTCGTTGAGAAACATCGTAGTTGACGTGTTGGTACGGATTTCCTGGTCGACATGTTAACAGTCCCTGAGTGGACGAGGTGATGTCATCAGAAACCTCGCGCCAACCAACATGCAAACATGGTGTGGATAGTTTCATCAAGTCGACACTTATTGCTTGACATTCTCAATATTGTAACAAACATGTCCATATACGTATCAGGATTTGTATCCGAATGGGGGACAATTTGTCTCCAACTGGTGTGGTCGCACCGTAACGCCTACACACACATAATAAGCAAGGTTTCTCTAAAGATGTACTTCCTTTAGTATTTATTTATAGACATATGACGAATATTCATATTACTCCGCTTGCAACACCTCAATAACCCAGTGAATGTAATCTGGGATACTCGTGTACACCCCCGGGTACTCCGGCCGAGCGCACCCATACCCGAAGCTGACGACGCCCACCTGCACCCACGCCCCGCCCATGAAGAGCATGAGCGGTCCTCCTGAATCCCCCTGGCACGCGTCCCGCCCCAGGCCTTCGGATCCCGCACACAGCATGCCCTTCCGGAAGAACTGCCTGTAGGCCGACCTGCAGCGGCTGCCCGGCAGGATCGTCACCTCCGTCTCGCGTAGGGCCTCGCTGTGGGATCCCTCTGGCGACGTCTTCCCCCAGCCGACCAAGCTGGCCGAGAGTCCTTCGGGGACCAGGAGGGACAGGCAGAGGGGCGGCGACGAGAAGGGCTCCCCCACCTTCAGCAGGGCGATGTCGTGCTGGTGGCCGTTGTACTCGGGATGGGGGACGACCGTCGACACCTCCCGCTCCACCACTTCACCCTCGGCGATCAGAGCCACCGTCAGAAGCGCCTGCCCGACGTGAGCCACGCAGTGCGCCGCCGTCAGGAGATGCGTGGCGGTGACGAGGGAGGCGCCGCAGAAGTGCTGGCCGCGACTGCGCAGACTCGCCGCCCAAGGCCAAGCGCTCTCATGGGCCACTCTCCCGCCGATGATCCTCGACTCAAGGACGAGGTTGGAGTCTTGTGGAGGCCGCGCTACCCCGCATCTTCCCGAGGCAGAGAGAGGGAGAGAGAGAATCGCGAAAAGGCAAGGAAGAACAGCCATAGCGATGTGCTGTGAGCTCGGACGCCGCGGCCGTTTTATGCTGACCTGAATGGGGGCGATTTCGGGGCTTCGGGGAGGCTGACCGTCAGGGACAATACACCTTCCA